AGTAAACCTCTTTGGTTTAGACTGGATCGTATTGTTTAATTTATGGGAATTACCGGTAAATTCTTTTGTAACAAAGTTAACATCATAGAGAACTATAAGACGAAGCAAACAGAAAAATTTATTACAGTTTGAAAGGGGAATACCCTCGCGTCTTTTTCAGAAGGACTAGGTCTGTGCACAAAAACAGAAGTCAACTTCGAATTGAAAGAAAATGTTAAACCAATCTTTAAACCAAAGAGAAAAGTACCATTTTCAGCACTAGACACAATAAATGAGGAATTAGAAAGGTTGGAGAAAATTGGCGTAATTTCAAAAGTTGATTACTCAGATTGGGTGTCTCCAACCGTATATATAAAAAAGAAAAATCAGAGTATGTGCTAATTTTTCGACAGGTTTAAATGATTGTGTGAAAGACCATGCATACCCTCTACCATCTTCAGCGGATATATTCATTAAATTAAATGGAGGTAGAGTGTTTTCAAAGTTGGACTTGTTGGAGGCTTACCTTCAGGTTAAAGTCAGTGAAGAATGTTCAAAGTACCTGACAATAAACACGCATAAAGGGATTTATAAACTAAATTGTCTTCCTTTTGGATTGAAGGTAACTCCAAGCCTATTCCAGCAAATAATGGACACAATATTGGCTGGTATGGAATATGCAATTACATACTTAGATGATATTTTGATTAAAAGTGAAAATGAGGCCCAACACAAAACGCATATTAGAGTGGTATTTCAGAGAATTGAGGAATACGGGTTCAGGCTGAGTGCTGAAAAAGGTGAGTTCTTCTTAAAGAAGATAAAATATTTAGGGCAGATCATTGACGGTAAAGGAAGTAAACTGGATTCAGAAAGGGCTGAGGCTATAAAAAATATGCCAGTACCTGATAATGTGGCTAAACTCCAGGCCTTTTTGGGATTAGTAAGTTACTATAGCATTTATATCCCAAAAATATATGATATGAGAGTTCCTTTAAATAATTTGGTGAAAAAGGGTGCAAAGTGGATATGGTTGAAAGAATGCGGACAGGCTTTAAAAAAAAAAAATATTAGAAGACCTATTGTTAGTGCATTTGGACCCAAAGATAAAATCATTGTAGCAGCAAATGCCAGTAATGAGGACTGGTTTGGTATTGCTTCATAAATTCGAGGACAGATCTTCAAAGCCAATAGCTCATGCCTCGAGAACGTTACTGCCCATGGAACAAAGTTATAGTCAAATCAAAAAAGAGAGTTTAGCAATAATCTACGCTGTATAAAAATTTCACAGGTTTCTATACGGAAGAGAATTTATTCTGCAAACAGACCACAAACTGCTGTTAACAATATTTGGTTCAAAAAAAGGTATACCAACTCACACAGCAAATCATCTACAGCATTGGGGTAAAATTCTATTGAATTATAATTTCAGAATAGAATATGTGCCTTCATCGATGGGTTATCAAGATTGATACCTAAATATACAGAACCACTGGAAGAAACAGACGAAAGGGACAAAAAGTGAATTCGGGTCTGTTATGCAACACTGTTAGAGAACTACTGTTTACACTAGTAGATGTGAAAAAAGCAGCAGTGAACGATGATTTCATTAAAAAAATGAAAAAGCAAGTCTGGTTGAACGAGACAACTAAAAAAGGAATTAGTATGTCACCTTTTTCAATTTGCGAACAGGTATTACTATACGCAGATAGAGTTGTAATGCCGGTTACTCTAGAAAAGAAAATTCTGAAAGAATTTCACACTGGCCATCCAGGGATTTTGAGAATGAAATCTCTAATGAAAGGCTATACTTATTGGCCGAGGATGGACCAAGACAGAAAATTGGATGAAACAGTGCAGAAGATGTCAACTAGCAGCAATGGATCCATCGGTAAAAGATTCAACCATGGCCAAAGACAGATGTCCCATGGACTCAATTGCATATCGACTATGCAGGACCGATAAATGGATCTTATTACCTGATCATTGTGGACAGTTTCATTAAGTGGCCAGAAATTGTTAAGTGCAGACATCCGACTGCAACAAATACAATAAATGCACTTAATGAAATTTTTAGTCGCTTTGGACTCCTAAAACTTTAGTCAACAACAACGGAATGCAGTTTGGGAAAAGAATTCAAGGAATTCTCATTGTCCATTGATCACATGACAACGCCAGTATATCATCCAAGATCAAATGGACAGGTGGAAAATTCATGGACACCTTTAAACGAGCGTTGAAGAAAAAAGCAAGGCGTGGACACATGGACACAAAATTACAAACATCAGGGTTGTTTGCCAACAGAGTTAATGTTTGCAAGAAAAATATGCTCTGTGTTTGACAGGCTTTGCCTTGTCCGGCGAAGAAAACTGCTAAAAAAAAACCAGATGTCTAAAGCATTTAAGCCAGGTGACAAAGTTTTTTTTCAAGAACTTTAGGACTCGAAAAACGTATTGGGAAGAAGGAATGATAACCAAAAGAATTGGACAAGTCATATATGACATAAAAGGGGAAAAAATTTAGTGCAAAAAGACATTGGAATCAATTGAGACCCAGACACACTACAGAGGTCACAGAAAATACCGAAGAGATTCCAATGGAAGTCTTGCATGATACATTTGAAATTCCCGTTCCAGTAAGTCAACATTCGCCAATGGAGGTATCCCTGACCTCAAGGCCAGAGATGCCAGTGTGTCAAACGCCACCAATGGCAAGGATGATTGAGGCGAAAAAGACTTAGGAAAAAAAATCAATCGATTAAGTACAGACCTAAAAAGAAAATATTGAAGCTAAATTTCACGGGAAAATTTGGCTTGGGGGAGGTGGTAATAAATATGCATACACCTGGGTTCCCCCTCACAGTAATATGATTATTGGTGTCATATAAATACAGACTGATGTGGAGATACAAGACTTCACCTATTGGCTATGCCTTATTGTCTACTACTTCGACGAGGACCAGTCCATTCTGGTTACCTGCTAGATTGTCCTTACTCGGTTACAGTAGTCCAAATCCACTTTGCTACTTCAAACAAATATATCCGTTTCTGGGACATATCATTTATTACTCCTTAAACAGAAGAATATTTTTTTCCACAAGTCCAAGAAAAATTTGGATTACTACTACACACAAAAGACAATGGTCAAACATTTGGAAAACAAGGAAAATTAATATTTTTAATAATATGTGGAAATAACAACTCTTTTGCCTGATGAAGGTCACAAGACTGTAAATGCGTGTAGCAAAATATGGAAAATAATGTATAATATATATTTAAAATCCACATAACCTTGTTCTTCTCTTTAATATATATATATATATATATATATATATATATATATATATATATATATATATATATATATTTTGGAATGTTTGCATCAATTTTATATATAAGTAGGTGTTAAAACATCTTGACCCAACCCATTTTTGGGAAATTTTTCAGCACTCCACTCTATGTGAGTGTACTTTAATATATATATATATATATATATATATATATATATATATATATATATATATATATTGCTCTAGCCTAATGATGTATAAAGCATTATATATTTTACATATAACATAACATTTATTCCTCAACTTAAATTCCTTGTTTGTCAATACAAGCAGTAAATACCAGCCATATAGGTTGAACAGTGTATAATAAACCTGGAGATTAAAATTCAACTAATAACTATTTTCTTGCTTGTTTATTTACCCTGATATATATAGATAATATGTCTGTGTGTGGCAAAAGAACTAAATCATATCCACAAATACTAATTTTTTCACTTATAGTTAATTACATTTATCAAACACTTATTAACTGCAAGTATTTTATTTCTTGATAATTCAATTTTTGGTTTGTCCTATAACTTTGTAGATTTTTGAGATATTTAAAAATATTTTCATGCTATCTAAAAAAGCTATTTAGGTGTCCTTATCTTCTCTTAAATTATCAAATAACATTTATTACTCAAATACATGGTAGCAACTGTAAGGAAGTCCCTAACTTGATGGACAAAGTGTTGAGATGAGTGAGATTATGTCTTTTCCCAAGAACATTTGTGCAAAATAAACACAAAAAGTTTTGGTCAAAGCTTGAAGTTGATTTATTAATTTCAGTTTCTACCACACCCCTAAACTATAAGATCACAAATATATAGCATCCAGTGAGTAACAATAATGGACTGCAAGACTAGCTTGTTAACCTTGTGGTAAAACTCCCCAACTGTATGCTGTAAACATGTTCGAGAGTCTAGTTACACATATGTATGTCATTGCATAGAAAATGATGCCTCAAAATACAATTCCAAAGTAATTTAAGTTCCACTGCAGAATTTATCAAAGACATCAGTGATTGTAACTTTTATGCGCTTATTTAAGCATCAAAATATTTTTTTTTTTTAATAAAAAGATTTAACTGTTGATTTGTTTTGTAAAGAATTGAGAGTGTCTTAACATTCCAGGCTTTTTTTTATTATCTCCTGCAATGTTACATTAAAAAATAGAGCTCACATACAAAGACACAAACAGGAAATACATTTTTCTATTTGTAGATACTGAATAATCATAAATATAGTGTTGTCTTTGCAAAAGACTTAATTTAACCTGAAACCCATATTTTCATTTTCCTAAATTAGTTGAACTAATGATAGCTAACATTTGTTGATATGTAATTTTAGAGCTATTATTGAGCTGTACCAGCAAGTATCAAAATCTGATTTCATTCATTTATACAGTATATGGGTCTATAGAGAAAAAATGTGAATGTATAAAAGTGAATAGAAAGAACATCCATAGATTATATATATATATATATATATATATATATATATGTGTGTGTGTGTATATATATATATATACAAAGGATTGTATGGAGGAGAATGAGATAACGACAACAGAAATAATTCAATAAAAGAGTTAAATGCTGACAGGTAAAAAGTGTACAATGATATAAAATATAAAGAAAGGTAGAAAATATTGATGTAGAGAAAATGAAAAAGAAAGAAACTTGTAAATGGAAAACTAAAGAGAAAAAAGATAAGGATAAATAAAGAGAAATAAACAGAAGAGACAATGTTCCAGAAAGAATAAAAGTTTGTAGAAAAGAGAGAATGAAATAAAAAGCAAAGAGAAAGAGATAAGAAAAAAATCAATGGAAGATAGATAAACTCCAAATGAAACCAAAAGCTTGGTATTAGAGAGAAAGAGAGAGTAGAGAGAAGCAGTTTACAGAAAAAGAAAGAGGAAAGTATAGAACAAGAAGAGAGATAACTGAAGAGAAAAGCTAGTGGAGAAAGAAATAAACTTATTGTCAATAAGAGCAAAAGAAAATTAGAAAAGATCAGTATCTATAGATTTTTTTCTCATTTTCTAATATATATATATATATATCTATATCTCTCTCTCTATATATATATATATATATAGAGAGAGAGAGAGAGAGAGAAAGAGAAAGAGAGAGATAATTAGGTAAAGAATATCATCTTTTGTGCCAGAAAATCAACTGTAATCATGAATGTTCCTTGCCTGCCAACAACCTATCAACATTTGAGAATCATGGTAATCAGCTGACAGAAACTTATGAATATTAATTAGTGACAGAAACTTATGAATATTAATTACTTCAGAATCCACAAGACTGCTGCTCACTTACCCCTGAAACTATTAGTGGATGGTAACGTATTACAACGTAAGATGAGAGTAAATAATAATTCCCTGTCAGATCAATCTTACTATTGCTGATTTGATACACACGCAGAGGCTACAAATACTCAAAAGAGAATGTCATGAAATTAAAAGACAAAGCAAGAAAGGCTTTTTGCTACTCAACCTAAATTAATGCCAGGTACATGCAAGTCTTCTTGTAACTTTCATACAAAAAGAACAAACAAAGCAATAAACTTGCTTTTCTAAAAACAAAATAACAATAAAAAAGTAATACTGCTTTTTTGGTTTAAACACATATATGACTGAGATATATAGAATATAGTTCAACTTAGATGATGCTAAAATAGACTTGCACTCAATGTCACGCCAGGTACAGGGATAACCCCCTAGCCAGGGAAGGAAGTTCTATGAGTCACTCAATGTCATTCTCTGCCCTGACATGTGAACACATGAACAACTCAGCCGAACATAGATTATGCATATAACTGGGGTGGGGTGGTGTGATGTGGGGGTAACTGATGACACGTAAATATATAGGCATCTGCTTCAAGGTGAGTCTCTGATATCCACATGAAAATGTAAGTCATAGGTTAGAGAAAGTCACACACCCATTGGTCAATGGTGATTGACAAATTCAGAGTAAAATAAATAGTAATGTTATAAATGAGATTCAATCATGTGTTTTCATTAGTAATTGCAAACCAATAATGTTACAAATAATTGTGATGCCATTGTTTGGTATTTGAAGTCAGGCTAAAAGCTAAGATATCAAATGCTGATTCTCAAAGAAGGCAAATTCTTTCCATGTGGATGATTGGTGCAGTATAATCTCATTTCCTTGCAATTTGGCCTTCTAATAGTCTTAATTATTAAATATGTACAAGTCAGTAAATCTATTGTTTCTTCTTAGTAAATGTAATAATCAGTCAATAAAATTTATTGTTCATTAGGAAGAATAACAAATATGTGGATATCAAACTATGATGGGCAAATAAAGTGGTTTTTACAAGTAAACTATAGTAGACTGTTGAATTTTAAATTTTCTCTTTATATTTTAAATTCTAAAATAATCATGAAATCTTTAAAAAAGAATTTTGCAGGATGTGTGTAAGCACATCAATAAATCTGTAGCCTAATAGTGAAAAGGCATGGTATAACAAATATTTATTTTTCAACATCATCCATTTTGTTCACTTCTTCAAATATTATAAAGATTGGACATTTTCTGGTGGAAACTTCAGGTCTAAACTCTGCTAATACCCACCTCCATGCACACAAATATTGAAAAACACAAAGGTATTGATTCTTATAGTTCATTCATATGAAAACATTTAAAAAATCAGTTGATCTTGATCCTTGTTATTTTTAATGTAATATTTTGGCTGATATGTTCTCCAGCCATCTTTGTCATGTGCTGCATCTGATTAATCTTTCACTCTTGTTTAATGTTTAATAAACCTTTTTCTTTTCTTTATTAATTTTAGTTACTTTCAAATAATTCACATATCAATATCAAAGATTAATTTTGAAATTCAAAATGATTCTTTGGCATGCAGATTTGTGAATTTTTTAACTGAGATGAAAATGAACAAAAATGAAAAGAATAAAAAATAATTTTATTGTTTATGATAAAGCAAATTCTTATTCTTGGAGCTTGTGTAAAAGAATTTTGACTGAGTTTAGATCATTCCTAAAGATATTTCAATAATAGTTTGTCACTGCAAAGTTTTGGGATAAACATTCTGACTGTTTGAAGAGAGACTGAGATTAAGACTAGAAATCAAAAATTTATACTTTTCTTTAAACTAGGAAAAATAATTATAAAATTTCCTGAAATTATTTCTCAATTTATTTCAATCAATTAATGAACAGAAACTGTTTCTGTTAACCAAATATTAAACTGTGTCAAATTCAATTGAAAAAAAAATTATTACTTCTTTTTTTGTATCTTTTTTAATTTGAATTTTGAGAGGAAAATTTTAATTTTTCATGGTTTTTAAAGGATTTTTCTTTTATTTGGGCTATTTATATTGAAACTATTGCCCCCATCTTTGTTGCTGCTATCACAGCGTTTTAGCTGTTGTACCCTCCTCAGGTGTATGTCAATCTGGGTAACCTACAGGGAATTTTGAACTGAATACTTCATTTAATCTATGGGGGTACATTGTTCTTGTTCCACTGCTCATGTCTAGTGATATCATCTAGTTCTAGGTAGTGCAACAAGAACAGTCTACCCCCATAGATTAAATAAAAGGTTCAGTTCAGAATTCTCTGTAGGTTACACAGATCAATAGATACCTCAGGAAGGCCAGAGGGCACAATGGCTGAAATGCTGTGATAGTAACAACAAAGATGAGGACACTAGTCTGAATATAAATAGTGTAAATAATGATAACTCCTATTCAGAGATTCTTCTTTTAATATAGTACATTTAAAATGTTTCCTATTTTATCCAAAGATAAACATATTTATGTCATACACCAACATTATATAAATGTGGTTGATAATAAATTTTGCTGAAGGACATGAAGAATATGTGTTTTGCAAATATCTATTGCTATTGGGATCATTTGAACTTGAGCCAGTTCTTCACACCAACATGTGAAATAGGTATCACCCTCCCCCACAAAAATAACAAGGCCAATCAACTTTTAATTGATAGGTTCCAAATAGGCTGCTATGACAGAAAGCAGAATGAATGAGTGGACTTGTGTATCAATCCTAACAATCATGACAAACAGTATTTCATTAAAGTTGAATTAAGAGTGATAGCTGATGACAATAGTGTGTGCATGTGTGTGAAAACATACAATGGTGATGGTGGCAGATACACCATCATAAATAGTGGGGAGAGAAAGAGTGGTGAAGGCTTTTGTTTGCAATATTTCCATATATACTATGAAAATATTTGTTTCATTTCCCTGATAGCTGTGAGGGACAGTATCTCTGAGGTAAGGAAAATGACAAGAAGAGAAGGTCGTCTCCCTTATGACCCAGTGATGTGTCAATCAAATTTTCTACAATCTACCAAGGATACTAAGTATGATGCAACAGACCATTTTTTAGTGTGTACCAAGGTTACTGCTAAAAGAGAAGACAACCTAAAAAGAGAATCTTACAATTACTATCAGAAAATTTATTTTATATTCATTAGTAATAACAATTATTAATACATTTATTGTCTATTTATCAACATGATGCATATCAAGGATCTATGTACTTTTTTGTATGCTACAGATAAACTGATTCTAGTGCCACAAATTATATTTCATTACTTTGGATTGAGTGCCTGGATAGAGTAATAACAATTTAGGCTTATAGAAGACTAACTTGAGTAGAGAGGCTGAGCCTCATTTAGGATTCTACTGTCATTGTCCTGTGTCAAAGTAAACTTTATGTGCCGTGTTCCTTCGGAACATAGACAATCATGGATCTCCACAATTTCCTGTCCTTTGTAGCTCTAAATAAATTTTGTCTTTTTGTTATTTCTCCTAAACCTTGTTCCACCAACCATTTACTCAATCTCATTAAGTATGTTATGCATTGTATTTCTCTGTCCCTCTTGTCTTCAATCTGTCCTATGAGTATCAGATTTTCAAAGCCCTCTTTCCTCATTATGAGCCCTAGAAATTTCAATTCTCTCTTCCTGATAAGTTTCCTTTTTGTTTCCATTTTCTCTAAAACTTTGTCATTCTCACATATTCAGTTCATGGTATCCTCAGCATCTTTCTGTAAAATCATATTTCTGTTGCTTCAAGTCTCTTCTTCATCTTTGAGGAGATTGTCCAGCATTCACTGCCATATAGAAGGATAGATATCACATAACAGTTCAGTAATTTTTTCTTTGTTTTTAATGTAAGCTTAATAAATATTTGCTATCACAAAGAAGTTATGGATACTTATCTTCACATATACAATGGCTATAATAATTTTCCTATTCAGTCAAACCATTTTTTATAAAAAACGGTAATGATTTTTCAACTGACTTTTTTTGTTCTGATCTCTGATTCCATTGAGGTTAAAATTTATAAATTTTATAAGTTCTAATTTTCAATCAATTTGTGAGATACTTAGTACAACCAGTATTTAACTGCTGACAACTATTATGTCACTTAATCCATCACAACAATATATATCAGAATGTAAGGGTTAAAATAAGAGCAGTAAGGCAAGATAGAAAGATTTTATAAGAAATATTTCCATTCATAAAATTCTACAAAATGAAAGAAGATAGATTTTCACAGTATAAATTTCTTCAAGGCAAGGCCATGATTTAAAATAAGAATTTTATTCTAAAAATATATTAATTAATTAATGTTCTTTGCAACATCCTGAATATGTATTTCAATTTGCTCAGGACTAAATATACATGTCATATAGGTATATATAGATAATATATTATGTACAGTTAAAGCAGGATTGCAGTAAATGATCATATATATAAATCAATACATATACATGTTCTAAAATAAGTGTTGTATCAATAGTAATTAAACCCATTATTATTACTGTATATCTTTTTTTGGCATTAACACAGGCCTGGATACTTACAAGCATATGTGATGCATATGGTGAATATCATCTTGTCATATATTGTTCTATGC